GGCAACACAGCTGAAAAACGCTACGCAACAAAACCAAAGAATATCGCGTATACCACACTTAAACTACATACCTACCTTACCTCTCAGCAAAAAGACTCGTCCTGCCTACGTCATGCGCATGCGGAGTGACACGTAGAACGAATCCTTGTATTAGCTCGCGGTCTAAAGTAAGTCTTGTCAGGATGTTTTCAAAACAAGAACAATGATGTTGGATAAAAATTGAATGTGCCAGAGGTCATACAGCACGACAGTGTCATCAAGGGCTTCAAGAGGCTTGCGGGGAATCTGCATTGCCTTACAGAACCATAGCGAGATGAGTGAAAGCATTCAATGAAGGACGCCAAAATGTGGCAGACATGCTGCGGCCAGGTGTCCGAGTGTCAGTGATGCAGACGTGCAAACTAATGGAAAGTGATCGCCGCCAAACGATTCATCAGCTGGCGGACAAACAGGATTAGCACATACAACTGTGCTGCACATTCTGAAAGAACGCCTGTCCATGAGAAAATTGCTTCACGATGGGTTCCACATCAGTTGACGGAAATGCAGAAATGGCTACGATAGGATGCTGCCCAAACCCACCTGGAGCGCTATGAGCGCGAAAGAGATGCTTTTTTACGCCGTATCATTACGCTGGATGAGACTTGGGTCCGATTGTACCAGCCAGAACTGAAACGCCAATCAAATGAATGGCGTCACCACGACGTTCGAAATTTCGTCAGAATCCCAGCAATGTGAAAGTTATGGTGACTTAATTCCTAAGATGAAGGAACCATTTCGTGGCACTCGCTTAAAAACTGTTCCTGAGATTCTTGCGGCAGTAGACCGGTCCATTCAAACTATCAACAAAACAGGCTCTGCTACAGGTATTCTGCGACTTCCTCATCGTTGGAAACGGGTTGTACACAATGCTGGTTACTATATTGAAGGACTGTAAAATATGGTGACGTGAATCACAAGTCCAGTCAACATTTGAAAAACTTATCTAATGTGATCTGACATGTTCTCTTGACGGATTGCACATGAACGAAATCGGCACAAACTGCTAACGCAGCAATGGGACTGCCTTCATTTCCCTCCTGCATGAAAATACCGATACAAAGTTTCAATGGATTCCTCGCATCCTGTGTTGTCACTTGCACCAACTTATTAGCGGCATCATCATCATCACTTTCTTTGTCTTCTGACGCTGTTTTGCTGCAACTCAAGCAACGATTGCAGCTTCGTAACCTTTATTTTCATCATAGCATTAAAGCTTGTTGTCAATGGATAAAAATTCTTCGCAATTTTGTACCTGTTGAAGTTCCACATCATTTTCAATTTTAATGAGCATGTCCACATCCATCTCCAAAACCAAGTGAGAAAAACAGTTCTGAATTGTCTCACTGCTCACTTTTCCCAGCTGTCGGCCACAAATGTAACTGCTTGTAAGATATTGACCTGGGACACTGACTTCACTGGCTTTTGACAATGAGGTCAGTAAACTATCTTCAATTGCTTCAAGGATGTTCAATAATTAACCAACCTCGCACGATAAAGGGTCTTTACATTTTATATGATGCCCATGTCCATTGGCTGGGCCAAAGCTGTGGTCCTGGGAGGTAGAAATTCCAGTTGGACGTTCATCAAGCAATCTAAATGAGGATGTGCTGCACAATTGTGAAGAAGAAGCAGCACTTTTCTCGACTGGTGTTGTAGCTCTCTATCCCAATTCTTCAGCCATTCTTTAAAAAGTTCAGAGGTCATCCACGCATTTCTGTTCACACAATACACAACTGGTAAGCTCTCCATCCTAAGTCCATTAAAGCAGCGAGGCTTAGTGCTTTTTCCTAAAACTATCAGCTTCCTGACATGTTTGAGCAGCACAAAACAGTTACTTGGATCCATGCTTTTTCGAAGCCAGAGAGTGCAGCATGTTTGTAACTTAACTAGCCGTCTGGTGTAGCACGATAATACAGCCCTGTCTCATCAGCATTGTAGATGTCATCCGCTGAAAAATTTTTGAGAAGCTCGGGCAGTTTTGCTGATTTCCATTCTTCAGCATTTGCACTATCAGCACTTTCTTTCTCGCCATGTGCTTTCTTGAATTGTATGTCATGTCTAGATTTCCATCGACCAACCGTCCGTAGCTTTAAAGTCATCATGGCCTAGCTTTTTAGAGAGTTCTTCTGCTTTGCATTTTAACATTGGGCCTCTTATTCGCACAGATTGTCCAGTAACAAGGCAAACCATTCATTAAGGGCCTATCGACATCTGGATCCTTGCCTTCACACTTCCATTTTTTGCAAGTTTCTCCTTGTCCTTCACATTGTGCCCATTCTTCTCGCAGCTCATTCTCTTGTTTTATCAAGTGCGAAATTGTAGACTTTGACAATCCGGTTATTTCCACCAACCGATGCTGACTGGTGTTTCATGGTTGTTGCTTGATTTTATCTAGGAAACCAATTTTTTCAGCTATCATCAAGTCCCGTCGTGGCATTTTTGCAGGGGAGACAAGACACGTGCACAGTTCACTGACTAAAGTGGTCTGAAGAAACCTTGGTGTTTTGGGTTCAAGATGATGAGGTCAAGAGAGAGATAAAATGCTTGCCATTCAAAGCTTTTGCACTAAAATCATCCCAAAAAAGTGATGAAGTGATAGCTTTCTTGTGTAAACTTTAATCATGATTGACAGGCGGGAATTTCTTTCTGGTGGAGCTGGACACTCTGTTGTTCATTTCCTCGAAACTTGGAGGCGCAGGTCAAAGAAAATGGTGCACGTATTCACCTCCCAGTGATATTGCTTTTGTCATGCATTTTAAGGAATTCCTTGACCTTTGATAAAGCATTTTCCTGGGGAGCCGCAACTACAGATCCTCTCATATGTCGCAGACCTGTACATCCGCTGTACGCGGCCGACTTGTGGCTTCTGTTTCTTATTCGCTCTCATGTTTTTTGGTCCGATTAAAAGGAATTTGGGTCCAAATAAGCGAATCATATTAGGCTTATGTACATAGGATTTGGTCCGAAAAAGCGACTCGTCCGATTATCAGGTGGTCCAATTAACCGGATTTGACTGTATTTTATTCAATTATTTTCTTTATTTAAACTGTTAAAAGTTTTGTTGAAGAAATATTATACTTTAATTTGAATACTTGTACTGAATATGAATTCAGAAATTCATATTGCAAGTGAAGAATGAAATTGATTGTTATTGAGAATTATAAGCTTATGATAATTATAGTTACACTTCTCAGCATGCACTTGATACAAAATTATTCCTTGATTATTTTATTGTAAATATTCACAAATTCAATTTGTCTTTGAAGATGATGTTTGTTATGTGTATATCATTTTTGAAATATATATTAAAAAAAAAAACTGCTGTAGAATGTTTCATTTAGAGAATATAATTAAATAGTAAGACAATTAATACATCAGACAGATACTGAATGTTTTAACAGATATAGGAGTGTTGCTTTTCTGTCTGCATGAGATGCATCTATTGGGCACATGAGTACATAAATTATTGAAAACAATGAAGCTGAAAGAAATTCGCCATATTCCTTATTATTTATTTTTAGCTTATTGTGACATAATAAACAGCATCCTTATATTTTTTCTTTAATTATAACAGTTTCATATTTTTTATGACATAATGATAAATTTTACTTCATATCTCTTCAGACACGTATTTTGACTTTTTCAGAAATTGGATTAATAGAGAGTTTTTTTTATGATTATAATAAAATTTAAATGAATGGATTGTAAGTATTTGTTGTAGTTTTTTAAATATGTTATGCTGATATATTTAAAAACTATCCTCATTATCATCTGAATGTCTCAAATATAGCTTGGGATTTTCTTTTTAATGTATGAAAACTAATTGTGTGACCTGTTTATGTTTTATTTCCATTTATTATAATACACAAATTATGCCATGGGTATCTGCTTAAGAAAAAGGATGCCTTTGTAAAGTGCTTTCTATAGGAAACTTGTTCATGTTCACAATATGAATCATGAAAACACCCATGCAGCCAGCCCATTAATAGGGATTCAAACTCATGTCAAACTACCAGTGTTCAGCTGGTTCATTTATTCAGTCATTAGTCTGTTTTATAAACACAGTTATGTAGAGAAATTACATCATGAAAACTAAAAGTTTAAAATGGCTATTAAAAATAATACTAACTTCTTCCGTAAAGATTTGTTTATAGCGATTCTTTTTTCTTTAAAGAATTATTATCTAGAGATAAGGAACAAAGAATTTGTGTAGTTTGTTAGTTGTTGTCTAGAAAAGGAAAATAGAATGGTTTTGTTAGTAGATTCTGTATCATTGTTATTATATAAGCAATAGATATATGAAATTATTTGAGACTAAAACTCGGGGATCAATTTTGGTGCAACTATTTCATTATTATTGCATTTGCTGCAACTATTCATTTATTATGAATTCACACAGTAAAATGTGAGTTTGCAGATTTATTTCTTCAAAATATCAATGCCCTTATTTAATGTGATTGAATTTTTGTGAGAATGTAACACTTGTATATTTCCTTCATTTCCATATTATTCTTATACACTGCATATTTTAATGATATATGAAACAATGATAATGTGCAGCAAATAGTTAGTTTGTTAAGGAATAAAATACTTGAAAAAGATTCAGTGCAGAATATAGTCTTATTAAAATTTTGATACCAGTGCCTTGTGCATTTAAAAAATACACTGATTGTACAAATGTATGTAATTTTTTCCTTATCAATCTGAAATATTTTCTTTGATATTTTTTAACTTAGCTGTTTTAAATTTGCTTATACTGTATTTTAAAGAATGGAGAGAAATGTTTGTTTCAAATAATTACACATGGTCCAAAATAAAACTTAAAATATATATAAAAAAAGGTTCCCAAAAAGAAAAAAGAAACATGCAAAAGAAGAAATAAATGTTAAGTCAAACAAAAACCAGAAAGAAGGAAAAGAGAAGATGAGAGAAGAGAACATACTTAATTATTCACTCACAGCCTCCTGTGTTTCATCGCTTTAGCGACTGCCATCCTTTCGGCATCTGTGAACCCCAGAATACTCTGGATGGCCTTTAGATGCTCTTTATCCTTCTTGGTAAGGAAATAAAAGACAGCATCTTTGAGGAAACGCAGAGTATACTCTGCTTGTCGGTCTCCCATTCCTCTAGCAGCCTCCCTATACAACTGTTTTGTCTGATCCAGCTCCAGTTCAAGCTGTTGAAGCTGCCTTAAGAGATCAGGAACAGAAACACGTTTAGGCATGCGCTGTGAAAAATCCAAAGCTTCATCAGCTTGTTCAAACCTAGCAGCTTCTTGGCCCTTCCTATGAGGAAACATATACTGTCACTGGATAAAATCATGCATAACTAAAAATGTGCAAAATTATAATTTAAAAAAACTTAATTATTTCATGCAATGAATGAGAACTAAGAAAATAAAATGTTTTTAACTCAAATGATATATTCCAGTTCTTAAACTTAACAAGCTAGTGTAAAACCAAATAATTTTTTGTGTTACATTTAAACAGAAACGAAAACTGAAAATTATATACAAAAAGGCATGCATAAAACATTAATAAGCCTTTTCTGGCAGGGTGTTAGAAAAAACTTCTCCATGGTTTCCTATTGAATTTGAAAATCAGTTGCCAAATACTACTTTACACTGCTTCTAGATAAAATAATAAGAAAAATAAAAATCTGAATACAGTATCTGAAACAACTCAGTTTGAAAATAATTATCAAGCAATATTTTAATGTTGTAAGAATTCAAAAATTTAGATCAAAGTTCTTCTTGATGACTGATATCATTAATAATAGCATTTTTAATTTCTGTTGTCTCTAAAACCATTTTATAGTCGAAGATTTGCACTTTCTAAAATGTATATAATGTAGAATGTACTTTTAGTTAGGTCAACAATCAATTTCTTTCTCCTTTTCCTTATAATTTGTGTAAATTCTCATAATTGAATAATCCAATTGAAGGTGAAATAACATTCAGCTGATGAAAAAAAAATAATGCTAATTTTTAATCAAAACCTTTTGCAATCTGCTATATGATTTTACTCACTATTTCCGAAGAACATAAAAAGGATATTTTCTTATCAAAACGACTGCAACAATGCATCCCCACAATTAGCAAATTTAATCACCAAATTTAAAATGTGCATCTTGATTTTTAGATTTAGTTGCCAAACCTATATGGTGGCTATTTTAGTAAGGAAATAACCATTTACTTTAATGTTTCATAGAATACTTTATTTAACAGAAAAGAATTATGCATTTTGCAATGTTAGTAACTGATTAAGACACAATCATACGCAACATAGAATCACAGTTTATTTAAAAATCACATCAGAAACAATCATTTTTCGACAAATAAGAAATGAAAAACCACTTATTAGCAAGAAAATTCAAATGAATAAGAAGTATTGCAAACAATAAATTACCAGAAGTATGCTATTAATCATTAAAAATAAATCTGGTCACAAATGAAGGCTGAAATGTTTTAAGAATCTATCAAATTTTCCAGTATATTTAAAAATTATTCGTTTTATAATTTTTTCAAAAGTAAATTCAACAACTTTTTTAAACTTTTTAACATAAAAATGCTGTTTCAATATAAATGAATGATTTTACATCTATATTTTGAAATAATCTAATATCACACAAAAAAATTTGCCATTATAATTTTAAAAACTTATATTCAGAATAAAAGAAATGTCTGCTTTCTGAAATTTATAACTCATTCTTTTCATTTTTCTGTCTTTTGAAATATATACTTTTCCTTGTCTAAGTATATCTAAACAAAAGCAACATTCTAATGTCGATTAAGTATTTAATAAAAATAATGAGCTCATTCAAAATATTATACAATAATATTCCCATAGTTAAAAGATGTTGAGATAAATATGTAAGTACACAAAATGAAATGAATCTCATTGTATAAAAAAATATAAAAATAAATGACTAGAATTAAATCCTTGATAAAGAAAAGTAGGAACAACCTTTAACAAGCTCATGACATAAGATGATACTGAAAATCTATCACATTCACAATAACCATGTAAGCAATCACAATATATCACATCTGTTGAAAACTCTAATAGTTTCCAAATGTGGCCTTTGATATACATCTTATGGGAATATTTATCAAAATTAATACTTGCAGTTATTTTTACATTATATACGAACATGCATAAAAATTATATTTAATCTATTCATGATTTATAATGTATGTGGAAGAGAAGCATGAGGAAATCTGAAATTTAAAATAAAAAATTTACCTATAGACCGACAATAATTTCATAGCGTTTAGTAGAAAAAATTTACAGAATATTTATTTTACTTGAAATAGAGATATATGTCCCAGTCTCGCTTGAAATACAAAGTTTTCCCTAAAATCAACATCAGTCTAAAGTTGAATTATGAGTAGTTTCTTAGACTGTTGAATTAGACTACATGTCATCAAGCATAAAAATGTTGTTGTAATGTATAGAAAAGTTTTATTATTTCATTTATTTTATGTAATAATTTGGTGTTATGCGTAGCAATGCTTCTCAATAATTTTTAGTCAGAAAAGGAATTTAAAAAAATATGTCATTTGAAAATTCAAAACTTTAATATTTAACTGTTTAATTTAAATTGTGTTAACACTGATAATATCAAGTTTGTATAAACATACGTATGGAAGAACTACATCAGGTTTGTCAGTAACTATAGAAAAGTCCTGTAGTAGTAAAATTTGTAACAGATTTTGAGTAATAAATTTATAATTTAAGAGATAATGGTAAAATGCTACTTCCTTACCCTTTCAAGATAAATCATATTACATCAAATAAAATTGAGATTTTTTTAATATATGGAGATTGATACTTTTGATCGTCCCGTGCTAATTAATATTAACTAAATTTATAAAATAATTCTTCAATAAATTAACGCACTGAAACAAATTAGTGACTCTCCTCTGTTAAAATAAATGTGCAGCAGTTTATTCTGCACAAGCAAAAAATTTTTCTAAGGAATAAGTACTCCTGATAAAAATTACGATTCATTTTCAAAAATAAATAAAATTTATACCAAATTTTAAATTAGAAAAACAAATTAATTTTTAATTGGAAAAAAGAAAATAATTTGTATTTCTTATATTCTGCTTTAACATTTTATTCTCTCGTTGCTGATAAATTTGTCATTAAACTTTAAAACTAACTATGGAAATATATAAAAGACTTCTATATATTTTCGTGTTTAATAATTTTTTTATAAATTCAATTTTAATATGGGACTTTTAACTATCTAAAATTAATATACTGAAGCATATTTAAACAGATTTAATTTCATTGAATTCCGGAATTATAATAATTAATACCATTTCTAAAAAAAATCATTAAATCATTTCATTTAAATCCATCATCCAAAGATTTCTGTTATACATTGGCAGGGATGAAAAAGACAAATTATTAATTTAGGTTTAAGTTAATAATGCTATAAATACTTATTCGTAAATGATTAAAAAATTCTGTCACTTCGAAGAAAAGTCTGTCATAACAATTTTTTTAATATTAAATCATAATTAGCTCCGTGTTTTAGTTCTATAACCAATCGATTTTTCTAAATCTTGAATTTCAGATTTGTCGAAGTAGTTAAAAAAATTGGAATGCTGACAACTATCTATGACACTTGCTAAATATTCGTCTAAATATAGTATTACCCTAATTCAAGCCACCTGGCCGAAACTGTTAATAAAGGGCTTTTGATGTGATGAATTGTTCTTGGAATATTCTACATCCTTTTAGAATCACGCGAGTATCAATGATAGGTAATGTGTATTACTCTGAGTAAAAGAAGACAATATGAATTCTAAGACTACAGAAATTGATCCCGTTTCCGTTTAAACAGATAAAAAAAACATTAAAAAAGATAATTTATTTGGGAATTGTTGAACACGCAAAACTCCTAAATCTTCTTGATCAGATACTCACGCTTGATAATATTTAAGAAATTCATGGAACCAGAGCGTTCTAAATTCAAGAATCTGATTATAAAACTATGAAGGTTACAGAATTAAATGAAAGTTCAAATCTTATCTATTCTGGAATGAATATCCCTGAAGATATTAACTCGGACAAGCATGAAATAGTATAAATCAGAATAAGGATAAAATGTATTCTCGCCGACAAGAAGCATCTAAATGAGAAGCGAGGCAAGATCATGTTATGATGTTAACCTAAATTATACGAATTTTTGTGAATGCTGCTATTAATACTTAAATCATGCATAATAGTAAAGAATTTCCATTCTATTCACATTCAAATTTTCATTAAATACAAATAGTCAGGTTCTTCATTTTTGTCCGAAGTTCAAATAGAAAATTCAATACGACGTTTTTAATCCTTTAGCTGTAGGAAAATTGCTTTAATTTCCGTTGCCTATCAAAGGATGACTTACTAGGACATACGTTTGGAATACTAATGTATTCAAATGTTTAAATAAACGTTAAGGTGTAAGAAGAAATTGATTTCTTTGATTGTATTTCCGGTAACAAAATCTAATAAATGTGTTTGAGCATCTGTAGAAGCTTTCAGTGCCAGAAATTTTAGCGAAAAAAGTTAAATTTACTATACGCATAAAAATTTTAATTTTTACACTATTTGGCTTATTTTGTACTAATGGAATATTTTTATTTTCTTAAGGTTATTGATATAAGTCACTAATAAACCGCTTAAACAATAGCAATTCGCGTGATTACAAATGAATTAATTAACCCTGACATTATTATTCAGATATATTTTTTATAATTTCCTTAAATTATTTTCGCGCAGTAAAACTAACTCAAATGTTGATGATTAAACTATAATGCTATACTTTATAAACAAAAGCATGCAGCTCTGGCAGCAAGTCCATTCTAAAAAAAAGTTACTTGCAAGTAGTGTAATTTACAAGTTTTATCTTAAATGAGATCGTATCTATGTACTCCGCTAATACATTCTGGGAAAAAGCTAATAAAATATATTTTAAATCTAAATCAAGAATTAAATAAAAATATGTTTTAAATTAACTCCATGTCTAATAATTCTTTACAATGGTATATAAACTTGAAAAACCCTTTGTTTTTCCTAAATTTTGCGCTGCCTTTGTCATGAAAAAGTTTACTTTATTAAATAATTTTAATTAAAGCTACTCTAATTTAATTTTGAATTCGAAATTCTACCCAGTTAGCTAGATATTTTAAGTTATTATAAGCATATGAAGGAGAAAGATAATACTGAATAACAGAAATATCTGGCACATTTATATACGGTTTCAAGTGCCGATACGCCAGGCCTAATACTGAAACACAGAGGCAAGCTTTGAAAACATTTTTCCACCTGTACATCTTGAGGTACATCTGGTTATGATAATCTTCCTGGTTTTCAATATCTTTTTGTACTTCACTCAGTTGGCTTTCGATGTTCAGGATCTTATCTTGGGCTCTGTCAAACAATGGTCTCAATTCCAAATACCTATAAAAAATACAAAAACATCTGTAAGCAAAATATAAAATTTTGTATCTTAAAATTGGGTAAATGTATTTAAAAAAAATGAAACGTCATTTTTCTAGACTATGTTACATATATTAATATTATAGAGACTTTTATACATTATTTTAATATTAGCTATCATTTATAATTTTTAAAATATCCAAGTCTGTTGAAAAAGTGATTAATTGAAATTTTATTGTAATTTAGATTATCCACAACGCACTTTATTGGCGAACAAAAGTGGTTTCAATTGCTATCTCCATAGTAATTCATTATACTTGCTTCTTAGTTTTAAATATTAATTATAAAAGAATAAAAATATTTTAGGTAAGTAAATAATAACAGTTGCCCAAAAGGGCTCTTTTAAAATTTAGTATGATGTATCATATCAATAGAAATGGTGGACTATCGAAACATTTTACAGAATACTAGATGAATATACATTTAAACTAACACAGGAACATTCAATATCTTCTGTATATGTGAAAGTTAAAAAAATAACGTATTTCTGTAAAATAATTAATATATAACGTAATTCTATAAAAATATTTAATGTTTTTAATTAGATATATCAAATTTTAAAGTTAAAAAAAATACTCTTAAGAATTATATTGTTTTCAATCCATTGCTTAGTTTGTTAATCAATAAAAGATATTAAATTTTAAAGGTCTTACACTTTGCCAAATGGTAACAGACTCGAATGAAAAGTGAAACAACGTATTAAATTGAATCAACGCCAGATTGTGTTTCGAGACTAGAATACAGCGTCAAGATAGAAAGAAACTCTCACTTAGCCAATGGTTTCGGCTAAAGCAACATGTAGTAGTATTGAATACAGTAATTACTGCTAGTAAAGTTGTTAGTGTTTTTTATTATACAGTCCGCTTATTTAGTTTCGAATTATAGAAACAGTAGTTTTATATTATTATAGTACAGATCCTTTGCGTGGAAATCGCAAAGAAAACATCTTAAAAGTGCAAGCATGAGCGTCAATGAGGAATGATAGCATTTAAGCACACCAATCGGTAATTTTGGTGGGTTCAACCGAATTTATTAGTTAATCTATTATCATCAGATCAAATACAGTAGCTATATTTACTACAGTACAGAACAAAATAATTTGCCATGGCTGTAATGAATCATGGTTTAAAGAAGGGTTTAACAATAAAATCCCCTCTTCTTTGTCAAAAATGATAATAACTTCTTAATTTTCCCCCACCTTGAACTCAAAAACGCTTTTTGTTGTTTCTCTTATAGTTTTGGAAATATAGTACGGCGTATTCTCTACTGTATTACTAGACTATCATATCTAATAACATTCTAAATCCATTAAAATGGATTTATTTCCAAAACCTTTTTTCATCATCCCTTCATGAATTTTATATCTCTAAGGAAACGCTCTTCCTTACATCACTAATTGCACCTAGTGTAGTAAAAAATAGATACGGGACATATAAATGTAATTTTAGAAACACGCCACAAATTTAATTTCTCATATGCTATAGGTAGATTTGGTACTTACGTATTAACGCAACCACCTTAGTAGAAGCCGAAAAATTTTCAGAATGTGTCGAACACTGGCAATCATGCGCACAACAGTTCTTCAGTCAAAGAAATCGTCAGATTGCGCCAAGGTGGTTGCGTTAATACGTAAGTACCGAAGATTTTCAACATCATCTTTGTACATGAGGAAACTGTGAAATGTTGAGGAAGAAATTTGTGATTATCCAGGTTCACAACAACAAAAAAGAACGAAAAGGAAAAAAAGTCTTTTGAAACTGTCCATGCTTCTGGCGACAGAGCATTTAAAGTGCCTGAAAAGTTTATGCGAAAAATATCCAGATATGACCTGCGACGCATAATCGAAAAGTTAATTAGACTATGGGCGCATATGGTGTTGAATTTTAAAAATGAGAATTAGTTGGATGATTTTTAGTGAATATAAGTGCTTAGCTAAATAAACTGAATATACTACTATTTAAGCGAGGGGATTAATTAATGATGTTCTAAAAAGCGATAGCATTCTTAATTAATTAGAAACTGCGTTAAGAAATCTCACGTTGTGAAATACAATTTATTCTGGAACTCTTTCTAAATAAATCATATAAACAGCTAAAAATATGCGGCATTCGTTGTCATCTTATCAAAAACTCCGATAATAGATTTTAATATTTCAGAAAATCTGCCATTACATTCTCAATTAATATCGAATATATCTGTGAAATTGCAAGAGGAATGTATAGAATCATAGTCATATACGAGTAGAAAAGATAATTAATTTAAGCGGACTTTAATTCGTACAAAATTTTTTAAAAAATTGAACTTTTCAAACAAATCCTGTTCATGAACGTGTAATTTCGAAAGCGCATGTATTTGGAAGCAGAACTTTTTCTTGTATGAAGCTTAAAAGAATTAAGGGAAAAAAAAAAAAAAATCATATAAAACCATCTTAGATATACTTCTTTTGGAATAAATATATTTATAATTTGAATGTATATACAATAGGAATCACAATGTCTAAACTAGATATCGATGTGCTATGCCATCGAATAACAGGTTCGTATTAAAAATGTTATGTTTATAATCCTAATGCATATCCTTTGCATTAAGAAATAAATAAAATTTTATGAGACGCAAATTAATATAATAGGTTATAAACAGCACCATATCTAATACAAATATTAAATTGTGCATACAGCCCTCCGGCATATTTTATCCTGCTGTGCAGCTCAATTAACACAATTTGTTGCCCACAAGAACAAACAATGGTTAATTTCCGTGAAGCTTTTCATCCACTCAAATTATGCATAAGAGAAACAACATCTTATTCAAACCCACTAATGAAACATTTCGGATATCGTTTTATCCCGATTCATATTTTTCTCTAATTTCAAGCAATTCTTCAAATAATGCTACCAATTACCTGCTGTTCCATAAGCACGTGACATAACAGAGCGTTACGAACATTTTTAGATTCAAACCATTCATGACGTTCAAACCCCCAGAAAGTAACCAATGATATTTATTATGCTTTGTAGAAGCTAGGAACACCTAGAAGCTAGGTCGATGATATTTTTGGCGTCATTTAGGTGAACGGACTGTGGATTTTGTATAAAATTTTAGTACTGTAAGCCAGAATTACTATCAAAAACTTCGGTCGAATCCACGTAAATTTGTCATTTGTTTGGATTGTGAAAAACGAGGAGAGGTCCAGCGACATTGCTCGTAATAACAACTTTATTAAATGATCATCATGTAATTACGTATTATAAATAAATATGAATTTAGCATAAAAATACATATATTAGCCAGTGCAACTTTGAAGTTTACGAAAAGTAACGAAAATAGTTCGTATTTTCATATACAGAAATATGTTTCACATCAAAAATATGATATAATGGTGGTCTGTTTGAAATCATAAGCAAGCCAATAATCTACATAATTAATATACATTTTATATTATTTTATCTGTTGTTTTTTAGTTGTTCACCTTAATCTGATTAAGGTGGATTAGGTTTATTTGATAAAGAAAAGCATGCACAATACACTGGTGTGCAAAAATTAAGGACGAGAAGGTTTCTGCAACATAACTTTGTACAAAAGCTTTCCAAATCAACACATTTAATACAGTAAGATCCCCAATACGTAAGGACATGAGTAATGTAAGCAACACTTACTAAAAGAGAAATCAGAGGGATAAAAAGAAGCTTTGTTGAAAAAGTAGCATGGAGCGCAATGCAACTGAAGGCCGAAACATCCCTGTGATAGGTGTCCAGCAAGAAACATCCGGCCTTTAATAGGGGATATGATCTCCCCTGACTGCTAGGCAGGTTTCACAGCGTCTGCCCATGCTGAAAATGAGAGTGTCAATGAGTTGTTGAGGCATTGCTGCCCATTCGTCTTGCAGCGCCAATCGAAGCTCCGGAATCGTTACTGATGGTAAGGTACGAGCTGCCAAGCGTCTGCCTAGAAAATTCCATACATGCTCGATGGGATTGAGATCCGGAGATCGTGCCGGCCAATCCATACGTTCAATATCCTCACTCTCTAAGAACTGTTCGGCAGCTACTGTGCGATGACATGGTGCATTGTCGTCCATGAAAAGGAACTGCGGACCCATAGCGCCTCTAAAAAGACGCACATATGGAAGAAGAATCTCGTTACAATAATTGACTGAACTTGCGTTGAAGATGTGAAGGTCTCTACGACTACCAAGCATGATGCCTCCCCAAACGAGAACACTGCCACCTCCATACCTGTCCCTTTCAATGATGTTCGAGGGATGATTGCGGCTTCCCCGCTCTCTCCAGATGAGTATGCGATGAGAATCGCTACTCAGACTGAATCTGCTCTCATCTCTAAAGAGTACTCGTCCCCATTCATTGTCTCACCAATTCCGGTGTTCCCGGCACCACAGAGAACACCTTCTCCGATGAGCAGGCGTTAGAGGTACATACCGTATAGGGCGTCGTGCAAACAGACCACCACCGTGCAGTCTTCTAGCCACGGTAAAACGCGATATCGGTCGTCCAGTCGCCTGTGTCGTGTGTCTAGAGATTTCTCCCGCTGTCTGCCGCCTGTTTCTTCTGGCCTGTTAAGGCAATATACCGGTCATCTGCGGGTGTGGTTGCTCGTGGACGACCACTACTAAACCCCCGGATGTTCCTGTAGTTTGAAATTGTCTCCAAAGTCGTGAAACGATGCTGTGAGCAATTCCGAACTCTGCAGCCACACTTGTCACACTGCGGCCTTCCTCCAACTTCCCAATGATTCGACCTCGGGTAAAAGCATCAAGATGTCGTCTAACAGACTGATTATTCGCCATTTCTCGCTGAGGCAGCAACTCGGTGTGATTTTAACTGCTATACGGCGTGCAATCTCTTTGCCAGAAATACTGATCTTACACCGACAACATGCTTTATACTATTCAGACACTCCCCCATTACGTCTACCAGCATATCTGTGCATGTGCTACCGTACAT